CATGGGGTGCAGCCAATTATCATCTTGGTGTCTACCATTCAGTCCTTTATGTATTCATATATGTATACACCCACATATATTCACATGTGTGTGTGTGTGTGTGTGTGTGTGTGTGTGTGTGTGTGTATTTAGCTTCTCTAATTATAAGAATTGTTATGGTTTGAATTTTGAATTGTGTCCTCCCAAATGTATATGTTGAAGTCCTAACCACCAGTAAATTAGCATGTGATCTTATTTGAAAATACAGTTTCTGCAGATGTAATGAGTTAAGACAAGGTCATTGGAGTAGAGTGGATTCCTAAAATGACTAAGAAATCTAAATTTCTATGGGGAAATTTGGGACCAGAGATAATTATGCATACAGGGAAAACACCATGTGAAGATAAAGACAGAGATTAGAGAAATGCATCATCTACAAGCAAAGGAAGGCTAAAAATTGCTAGCAAATCCTCAGAAGCTGGTAGAGGCATGGAACAGATATTTCCTCACAGTCTTTCAAGGAAACTCTTTCTTCCTGAAACTTGGTCTTGGACTTCTAGAATCCAGAGCATTTTATAAGTTACCCAGTGTGTGGTACTTTGTTATGTTGGCCTTAGCAAAGTAATATAGTCATTATAACCATGTTATTTTAAGTTGCTTTTCACGTCCAAACAAATTCACTTTATCCTTCTAATGAATGCATATAGATAGCATCTTTTAAAGGGATGCATGCAATTCTTTACAGTTTTTTTCCTATTTGAAAAACTTGCATGTCTTCTCTACCCTTTTATCATTAATGTAATTAACAGCATTCTCCTTTAAAAATTGTAGTAAAATATATATAACGTAAAAGTTTCCAATGGTGAACTCTTATGTGAACCATGGACTTTGTGTAATAATGATGTGACAATGTAGGTTTATCAATTGTAACAAATGCAGCACTGTAGAGGGAGGTGATAACAGGGGAGGCTATGCATGGGTCAGGTCAGGGTGTGTGTGGGAAATCCCTGTACTTTCTGTGAACTTCATTTTGCCATGAACTTCTCTAAAAAAATAAAGTCTACTAAATGCAAGAGTTTAATGAAAAACATATATCACTGAATGAAATACTTAAAGACAAAAAATTACTCTTATCCATTTTAAGTGTATAATAGTGATGAATATATTCACATAATTGTGCAACCAATATCCATAATATTTTTAGTCTTCTAAAACCAAAACTCTACATCCATTAAACAGCAGTTCCTTCTTCCTTCTTCCTAGCAGCCCCTGAAACCACCATTTACTTCCTTTTATATGAATTGAACTATTCTAGATACATCATATAAACACAATCATATAGAATTGGTCCTTTTGTGACTTATTTTACCAGCATGATGTTCTCAAGCTTCATCTGGGTTATAGAATGTGTTAGAATTTCCTTCCTTTTTAAGGCTGAATAATATTTAATTGTATATATAGACAACATTTGGTTTGCCTGTTCTTTTGCTGACAAATATTTGGGTCGCTTCCACCACTTGGCTTTGAATTGAATAATGCTGCTATGGACATGGGTATCCAAATGTTTCCTTGAAAACTTGCATTCAGTTTTTTTTTTTTTTTTGCATTTATGCTTAAAAGTGGAATTGTTGGGTCATGTTGTAATCCTATTTTTAAGGAACTGTCATACTATATTCCATAGCAGTTGTACTATTTTACATCCCACTCACATCACACAGGGTACCAGTTTTTCTACATCCTGCTCGTGTTTGTGTTTCCTCTTTATTTCTGTCTCATTATTTTATTTTTTTCTCTTTTCCTCTCTCCTCCCTCCCTCCCTCCCTCCCTCCCTCCCTCCCTTCCTTCCTTCCTTCCTTCCTTCTTCCCTCCCTCCCTTCCTTCCCTCTCTTTCTGTTTGGATATTAGCTCTCCTAATAAGTGAGATGTGGTATTTCACTGTGGTTTTGGTTTGCATTTCCCTTATGATTAATGATGGTAAGCATCTTTTCATGGATGTTGGCTATTTTTACATCTTTTTTGGAGAAATGTCTAAGTACTTTGTTTATTTTTGAATGGGGTTTGCTATTGTTATATTAAGAGTTCTTTTTATTTGATGAATATAAATCCCTTATAAGACATGTTTTGTAAGCATTTTTCCCCACTCTGTAGGCTGTCTTTTTGCTCATTGTGCCCTTTGATGAACACCTTTATTCTTGTATACTAAAGCATAGATATACATAGACTACATGTACATCTATGTACATCTAAGCTACACATGAGAGGAAAAATCCTTGGAGTGGAATTACTACTTCAACCTACAAAAGTTGTTTCAACTTAGACTCTTAACAGTTTATGACCATTCCTCCCATCTTCGTTTCCATGCCAGTCCACAGAAGAGATTTTTCAAAAAATTGCCAAGGACGTTGAAAAGGATATTTTAATACATAACTACTCTGTTCTATACAATAAGAGCCTGTTATATCATGGTTAAACTATTAAACAAATTTTAGTCAAATCATGTTCCCTGGAACTTAACATGTATATTTGAAAAAAAAAAAAAGTCCTACAACTTAGAAGTTGGATTTACCACCAGCCCTAGGGTAAAGGCTTTTACTTTATTTTTTATTAAAAGCTCTATAATTAGTTCTTTTACCTCAAGTGATTTACTTAATGAATGGTGCCATTTTATAAATTGAGTAAACAAATCTGCTCTAATTCATAGCTAAAGAAATAGGAGAAGCAGTTTGCCAGAATGAGCCAGTGTATGCCAAGGATTCAATCTCATGGCCCAGAACTCTCTTCCCATTGCCAGGACCACTGTGCCGCCATATGTTTCCAGTTTCAGGGACTGAAAAGGTGGGGATGACAGCATGAATGACATAGGGACAGTGGGAAATGATGGGCCATGTTTTCTGGGAATTATATCACTGCAGTTAAGCAAAGGACCTGGCCCCCGAGGATATTGCCTCTGTGATTATATTTTAAAACAATAATAATAACAGAAGAAAATCGGACTTTTAGATCTTGAGACCAGAGGGAAAAATGGTAATGTTCTATTCCCACTTTGATCAAACCACCTGTGATAAAGAAAGGTCCGTGGGGTCTCCACACAAACATCAAGGAGGTTTCACAAAGCCATGGTGCTCCTGTGCATTTTATCTTCTTTTGTTGCTGGAACTTTCTGCACAGAGCATTGGTGACACACCACATTTACTTGTCCTACATGATTCCGGGTTGGAACATAAACGTCTTACTGCTCCTAAGGTCCTCTACTGCAGTTTATTAAAAAACCAGAGAAGTTGGGCCTGGTGCTTCCATATGGCTTTTCTAGTTTATTGGCTCTATTTGCTTGTAAAAATATGTTTTCAATTACACTTAAAACATTTGATTCAAACTACTTTGGGAAAGTTAAGATGTATTGTTTTCCTTGCTCACATCACATACATTCTGCTTTACCAGGAACTAATGGTGCAGTGCACTGATGTCGGGTGGCCAGTGATATAACAGGGTCTGGGGAAGAAGGTGAAGGATAGTCTTAAGCTATCAATAAGAGAAGAACAACAGAAATTGAGTGTTTATTTTGGACTCACTGTGAGCATGACAGATTATGGGCATGACCATAAACGACAAAAATATATGTAAAACTCAGAGGAAAAAATGAGACTACTTGGAACACAAGATCAAAACAGGAAATTTTGGTTTGAAATGAGCCTCTTTCCTCACATAGAACTTTCTAGATGTTTTTGTCAGTCAGCCGTATCTAATTATTTTTCTTTGACAGTGATGCAAAATTGGAAAGGGCTTTAAAACCACAGTTGTCAGTGGGGCTAAAGGGGGCATTTTTTGTTTTTCTCAGAGGAGCAATCACTTACAATGAATTAATAGTTATTATTATTAGCACTTTGTCCAGATCCTGGACAACAGATTATTGTTTTATTGAATGTTGGTTAAATATTCATCTCTTCAGACAGAAGGCACAGATGGATTATACTGGGCCATGACCCAAACAGGAAAAGAGAGGCAGCAGTGAGAAATTACGTGGGGGTAGTGACTAAAGTGCCATGAAAACATCGTCCACCCCCCCCACACACACACCCATGACCTGTGTTGGAACATCTAAGGACCAACCATGAGTCAGCTACGCATTAGCTCATCACAGAAGAGCAGGCAAAGGTGGCCTAATCCAGGAGCCATACACTGCTCAGCATGTGGACCCACTGGGGGCCTGCTGAGCTGAGCTCACCAATCAGGGAAAGGCATTTGCTTTTTTATTTTTGTTTTCTTTTCTCAGCCAATTATTCTCATGGTTCCCACTTCCAACCACAGGACCTTAAGGTACATAGAATCACCTAGAATGCTGGTTAAAAATGCACATTTCTGGCCCCACCCATGAGATAAGATTCAGTAAGTCTAAGGAATGTGCAGTCACTATGCAGGTAGACCCTGGACCCACTTTAACTCATTCAGAGAAACTACCCACAAGGAGGATGAGAGAGACAGGATGAGTACTGTGATTATAGTTTTTTGTTTTGTTTTGTTTTGTTTTTTTACATTATTGCTAAGGGTCTGCCTTAGACCTTTTCATCTTTCCTTGAAATTATGGTTGCTATAGATATCTTGATTTCTGAAGAATTCTTTGATCAGACTGTTGACCACTCACTTTTCCTTTTCTCTCTTTTTTAGAAGGGAACTTATTTAATCTGAAAAGTTTATCAAAAGTCTACTGCAACTTTAGTTTTTAAAGGAATATCACCGCATGCATCCAAAAAAATAAATTGTTTTACTCTCATCTCTTGGCCCTTTGCTGCATTTGTTACCACTCACTTTTTCTAAACCTCTGGCTGAACTTTGAATCAGATACTTTGTCTCTAATATCTGTGCTTCTCTGATTTTCATTTTCATTTCTGTACTCTTTATTTATTCTCTCATTCAGCCATACCAAGGATCTGCACTTGGTTCTTGTACCTAAGACACACTGCTTGGTAACGCAGACTCAGTTCAAGCCATAGTGAGGTAATAGACCAGCAGTGGAGACAGCCAGATAGTTAAACCAAAACAGTGGGAGTGTGGGGTGCCACAGAGGGGTGTTGACAATGTGAGAGCACATAGCAGGGCCACCTAATTTAGTCTAGCATGTCAAAAAGGCTGCTGGGAATGCTGAGGGAACTGGGAAGGGATGAGAAGGCAGAAATGGAATGGAAACTAAAAGGTAAGAGCTATGGCACTTTGAAAAAGAACGGTTGCTTTTATGTGGAGAAAGTAGGTGATGTGGCAGAGAACAGGGCTAGAAAGATGGGCAGGCCCTGATGGGGAAAGGCCTGGTAAATCCCAAGACAGAGTTTGGATGCTGAGTCCTCTGAAATACTTCTGAAAGCTTCAAAACAGGTGAATCACATTTTGGTCTTCACGGAAAGTATGGTGCATGTGACACATGGTGCAAATAATTCAGAGTAAAGTCTCCAAGGAGGTGGGCAGGGATAGGAAGCTCAGAGCATAGGCAAGGGAGGGCATGTGGGAAGAGAGGCATCTCTCCCACTCTGACAAGAGGGTACGGGCAAAGGATAGAATGGCTGGCAGGTTAGACAGGTGTTTGGTCAAAGAATGCTGAAGGTGTTTTTCCCTCCCAGAAAAAAAGAGTGAAGATACCTTTGAGATGTCTTTTAGAGCATTTCAGTAATGATACTTTACTAGTGTCACCAATTCCTCCATTGAGTGGTATGTAGGATAAGACAGCTGCTCAATCTTATCAAAGAATGACATTAGCTATTTAGAATTATACCAGCAGTATTAGTTTTCAGACTGTCAGTGTCTTTAAAAATTAAAACAGAAAATCAAGAAACAACTAGAAACAAGGGCATCTACCAAGTTAACGTGTATGAATGCCTCTTGTACATTGTAGAGTCATATGATTAGGTTAGAATGTGACAGACTTTCCAAAAGCAACATCTAAGAAACCAGAGGCAATGACATATGATTAACCTGGGGATGTAATAACCAATTTTAGGATTAGAAGTTTCTTAGTGAAGACTCTCAGTGCCTCTTTCATTTTCTGAAGCATGTACGATTTTTTTCTCCCAAAGGATGTAGGCAGATTTCCAGGTACAAAGCTATGCCATTCTTCTATTTGTCCTAAAAGCAAGTTGAAGCTGAAAAACCATCTTGAAACTGGAATTAGTAAAGTCTTAAACAAACAAACAAACAAACAACGCAAGATTTCATTGAAAGGCAAAGTTCAACCATTTCTTGTTCAAAAAGTCTGACAATATAAAAGGGCTTCCTTGGGGGACAGCAAAACCAAGTGGACTTTTCTCCCAAATCCATAACAATGGACAGTTTTGGACAGATTTGGAATGTGCCTTTCTTTTTTGCTAAAGACATTTTTCCACCCTTGGCCTTCCAAAACTCAGAGTTCAAAGCTTCACTACTACTTTTTTATGCAGAAGCAAATTGACCACAACACTATTAGAAAAAGACGTGAGTCAGTATTTGGCTCTTAATTTCTTTGTTGTGTTCTTTGGAAAAGAAAGATTGTAAGGAAAGAGAAGCAGGGAAAGAAAGGCTGACTTCTTTTGCATCTTTTCCTTGTAGGGTGTTTGTTTAAAAAATAATAACCCAAACCAGGCTATTATTGGGATTTATATTAAGCATTTCCAAGTTTGAAAGAGGAACAAAGTCCACCAGACCCTTTTGAGGCCTTTTGTTTTTCTCATTATACAAATAGATAAATTGAGTCACTGAGAGTGAGGTAATTTCTCTGGTTTCAGCTGTATTAGATGAAAAGAAAGCAGGAACTCAAGCTTTTGGATTCTAGGTAACCACTTTGATCATGATTTTACTGGAAGCTGACAATCAAGAAGTTAATAATCTGTTATGCTACATATTAGGGAGATGAGATTTTTTCTAGTCATTAGAATAACCCTCACTTTCTAGATTCTTCAGGGAATGAGACATTTTGGAAATTAAAATTTTCCTAATAGCTGACGTTTTACATCTATCTTTAAGGGCCAAAATGTGCTTGCTTTGATACCTTTAAAATACATAATCTCCTTAACTCTTTGAAGATGTGATCAAACAAATGTCAACAAATTCATACCTGTTGTGATTCAGTGACTTTAGGCGCTTCCTGAGGTTGCATGAATATATGTTCCCATAATGATAGGTATAGTGCTTTTAAAATCCTTATCTTTTGAAAGCTTTTTCTCTTCCTTTATTTCTGGGCCTCCACATTTCTGATTCTTCCTGCTGAAAGTACACTTATTATCTCCTTTCCCTTTCGAGTTATGTGCTTCAGTTCTCCTATGTTCTTAGAAGTTGAAGAATCATGTTTGTCAGAATTATATGTAAAGCAAACCAAACAGGCTTGAAGTGAGGATCTTAATGACCTCTACCTTCAATTCTCTGAGCACTTTTGACTTCAACTTTTTGTTCTCCCTTGTGTACTGCTAGACTTGAAATTTTCAGAAATTAGAACTTGAGATAAATTAAATGGTATCTTGGATATATGTGGCTTCTAAAATTCAATTTGCAATAATTTAATTTTTTTTCTCCAGTGATTTTATTATTCATTCCATCAAAACTGAATGCTAAATGTCTGACTCTATCCAGGATCTCGGGAATCTCTCAGTGTTTCAGGATTATCCCTGGGGCCAACAGTATTGATGCTACTATCTTGGTAGTAAATGGAAGAAGATCTCATAATTTTTGTTGAAAGAATACCAAATAAAAGGTGTCTACTGTTTTGTGCATTTTTAGGTAAGTGTGCTAAACATCTGAAAAAAACACTTATTAAACTGCTGACTCGTTATCTTTTTGGCACTTAGGGAGGGGAATGGCGTTCAGATTTATCATCTTTAGAAATTGAGATAAATTAAAAATTCTTGACTGACAGCCTTCTGTTGGGTGGGGATGGGTGTGTTCTGAGAAGACACTGGCCCCAGAAAAGGCTCAAAACACTTTGATTAGCATGGAAACAAACAAACAAAACACAAAATGTGGCTTTCTTTTTGAGGAAAGAGAGGGGTTTTCACATTCCTTATGCATTTATGCCCCAAGTGGCTTTTCAAGTTTCTACACATTTTAGCTGAAAACCCTGGGTGCAGGTGAAATACACTTGGATGGTGTCAGTGGGGCTCATCACATGGTAGGTTCCCACTAGCTATTGGCTGAAGGACTCAATGAGTTTAAGTTTGAAATCCTAACCAAACAAAGCTGGGATCATTGAAATCAAGAGGGGAACTCTGGTGGTTCTTCTTTCTTTGTCTTTATGGACTAAAATACCTTCCACTACAGTTTGCAAATATTTTCCTTATTCCAAATATGGGCAGCTTAGATCCATTTTCTTGAGGAAAATTTAATTGAAGACTTCTTGATGATCAAGGCACAGCAAAAATATTAGGACCTTTTTAGCAGAAGAATGGAATTCTTTTAAGGTAGGATTCTGATGTACTGACATTAAAGGTTGTTGGGCATATGCACATGGCTTGAGGAGGTCTATTTTTGCACCAAAATGCAGGGTTGGATGCATTTGAGATGCTGGCAACCTCAATAGGAGTGGCAGTTGGAGCATAGCAACGTGAACTCCAGAAGCCCGTGGGAGTTAAGATCTTAGCTGAAATACCAGGACCATAGCTGTATGTGTGTTAGTGTTTGTGTGTGTTCAAGCACATGTGCACATACATAATATGTACTGACACGGTTAAGAGAAGGAGGTACCCTTGAACTGGGAAGGGACTATGAATCCATGACAATTTCTTCCTTCGGAGGAGCTAGTAGGAAGATTGAAATCTTGCCATTCAGTGAAGCAAAGAACAACAAAACAAAAACCCCCAAGCAACCATCCTTGAGCCAAAATGAAACAAAAATTCCCAAAGGACCAGAAACACATATCAATTCATATTACTACCATAACCAGCTCACAGCAGGACCCTGGAAGGAGAACCTAGAGTTCACAAGAAGCTGTGAGGCAAAGAGATCCTTAGTGCTTCTTTTTTGCAATATACAGAAAGCAAGACTTCAAGGCCATTCTCTCCCAGATGTTCACTCTGCTGGCACTGAAATAGCATTCAATAACTGTTTGTCATTAAGTAACTAACTGAGCACCTTCAGAGTACCAGACACTTCCTGTATGTTATCTCAGGATGACAATCTTGAGAGGCAGACTTAGTTTAGAACACAGGGGAAAAAAGACTCAGTGAGATTCTGTCTTGTTAAGGGTGGCTGCATTGTTAGGCGACAGAAGTAGAACTCAATCCCAGAACCTTTTTTTGGGGGGGGTACTAGGGAGTTGAACTCAGGGGCAGTCAACCACTGAGCTACATCCCTAGCCTAATCTTGTATCTATTTTATTTAGATACAAGGTCTCACTGAGTTGCTTAGCGCCTCACCATTACTGAGGCTGGCTTTGAACTCACTATCATCCTGCCTCCAGCCACTGGGTTGCTGTGCCCAGCACAGAACTTCTTATACTAAATTCAGTGCTTTTTATTCACAATGTGGGATGGGGGATGGGGGTACTGGCTTCCCACAGATAATGCATAGTATTTTCTTTTTAATTCATGAATGGCATGTATTTGGACATTAAATAGAAAAGGGATTTTAGAATGTCATTAAAATAATTAACAAAGTTTAAGTGGATTGGATATCCTTTGAGATCATAAACAGTATGGAAGACAACCTCCAAAACCATTTCTGCGGGCAGAATCCTTGATGCAAGTTAACTGCTCTGTGATTGAAGGAAGTTTGGATTCTCCTCTTTTTAGAAATTTCAATCACCATACAGTTTTTTTTTTAAATTAATACTTTAATTGTACATGTTAAGGGGATTAACTGTAATATTTCCAGACATGCATATAGAGTGCATTGGTCACATCCATCTACCCTTCTTTTTCCCTTGCCCTCCCCCTACCTCCAGCACCCTTCCCAGTTCCAAGTAATCACTATTCTAATTTCAGGTGTTTTTTTTTTTTTTTTTTTTTTTTTCAGTTTCAAGTTCCACATGTGGTACTTGTTTTCTGCTTCTGACTTGTTTGGCTTGACATGATGTCCTCCACTTGGAAATGACATGATTTCATTCTTCTTCGTGGCTAAATAATCCTCCATTGTGCATATATACTTTGTCTTCTCTGATTCCATACCTTAGCTATTGTGAATTTCAGCACAATAAATAGGGTTATGCAAATATCTCTTTGGTATGCTGCCTCCACCAAAACTACTAGAACTGATAAATGAATTTAGTAAAAGGCAGGATACAAAATGAACATACAAAAATCAGTAGCTTTTCTACACATCAATAACAAATTTGTTGATAAAGAAATATTGAAAGCAATGCCATTTGGAATAGTCACACATAAAATAATATATAAAATTGGTCTGGGGCTGTGGCTCAGTGGTAGAGCACCCGCCTCACATGTGTGAGGCACTGGATTTGATCCTCAGCACCACATAAAAATAAATAAAGATACTGTGTCCAACTATAGCTAAATTTTTTTAAATATATAAAATAACTTAGGAATAAAATTAATCAAGGAAGTAAAAGATCTCTACAACGACAATCACAAAACACTGGTGAAAGAAGTTGAAGACACTAAAAGATGGAAAGACCTACTATGTTCATGGATTGGAAAAATTAATATGGTTAAAATGTCCATATCCAAAGTGATCTATTCTTCTTGAAAAGCGCCTTCTCCATCATGGAATCTGGTTCCCTAGGTAGTTTTGGTTTCCTAAGTAGTTGTTTGAAATTTCCATTTTATGCTACTGGGATGCTCTGGATCACTTCTGCATATAATACTGTTAAAGATCAGCCTGAATCTGTACAAAGAAGGGGACTTTAGGAACAGGGTAATATAGGTTCATATTCTAGCTCCAACACTCACTCTCATAATGATATTGAGAAATTTACTTAATATTTTTGAGCACTGAAATACATATTATGGTAAGGAGGTGGGGTAGGGAGGAAGAACATGGGAGGATTGAATGAATTCTAGATAGGGAAGAGGGGTGGGAGGGAAAGGGAGGAGGAAGGGGATTAGTAAGGATGGTGGAATGTGATGGTCATCATTATACAAAGTACATATATGAAGACTTGAAAGTACATATACAGAGACATGAAAAATTATGGTATATATGTGTATTAAGAATTGTAATGCAAAAATGTACATGTATAATGGTTAGAAAAAGAATTCATAAGTACTAAAAAAATACATATTATGGGCTGGGGCTGTAGCTCAGTAGTAGAGCACTTGCCTAGCATGTGTGAATCATTGGGTTCGATCTTTAGCACCACATAAAAATAAATAAATAAAATGAATGCATTCTGTTTATCTATAGCTACAAAATTTAAAAATAAAATAAAATACATATTGTAAACTATAAGTTTCTCTGCAAAGGTTAATTGTTACTATCATCATCACTATTTATAAACTATCTTCAGGTTGAAAATTTCCCACATTAAGATCCTTCTAACTCTCTTTTGCTGAAATGGTGATAGTACATTCTATTTCATGAATACAAGATACCAAACATCTCCAGTGCATTTTTTTTTTTTGAGGAAAAAGACTCAGGGATTCTTTCTTTGGCCACTGGCTCATGTCTGTAGATGAGAATTTTATTTATATGTATTCAAATGTGATTTAAACACATGGTGATTGTTTTATAGCTAAATATAAAAATTTTACAAGTTAAATGTTATTGCTATCTTTACCATTGACTCTAAAGCTTGCTTATGCTATAATTTGTATATACTTTACAAGGCAGGGGAAAATACACACCCATAATTATTTCTTGATGTTGTCTGGCTCATGATAGCAGGATAAATTCTTTTATTTTATTATTTTAGAAAAAGTTTTCATTGAAGTTTTTTTTTTTTTCCCAGTCATTCCAAATAAACTTAGATCTGAATGGAAAAGAGACAGCTGATTGCCTGGCTTTTCAAGTGGTTCTTTTGCCCTTATCGTGCTCTTTGCTGAGTCAGAAGGAAGGCATGTGGTGCGGTCGACCTCTGAAATCATTAAACATCACTGTAAACTGTTGCTGCTAGAGACTCACTCGGGTTTATTTTCTGAAGTCTTATTAATAAGTCAGAATCTAATCTGCAGCCAGGCTGTTTGATCACCGTGCCCTTGGCTTTGCCAGGCACAGGATTTTACTGCATGGTTGGTCTGCTGGCATGATGATTCCTGAAGGGCCATCCATAAGCCAGCAAGTGCCAGGGGCACATCATTGTCAAATTCCAAAGACATGCTACCTCCCCTGACCTGTTGGTGGAGCGGCAGCTTTTCATAGTGCCTCGGGTTGTCCACTATGGAATGCAGAAGGAGAGACAAAAAGTTCTGGGAAAATCTATGATAAAGAGTTACTTTTCCTCAGAAACTGGTGAGGTTTCCTGGGGAAGATGCAATAATCTGCTAATGGTACTGTTTCGGATACCCAGGGACAGCCTTCCTCTGTAGAAATGATCAAATGAAGATTAAAGCAATTGCATGGGTATTTTTTTGGGTGCGGGTTCTGAGGATTGAATTTAGCAGCACTTCTCCAATGAGCTATATCCCAGATATTTTTAATTTTTAAGACAGGGTCTCACTAAGTTGCTTAAGGGCTCACTAAGTTGCTGAAGCTGACTTAGAACTCGCAATCCTCCTGCCTTAGCCTCCTGAGTTGCTGGGAGGACAGCCATGCACCACTGCTCCCTGCTTCAGTGGTATTTAAATCATGCTTTTCCCCCAGTGGCAAAAGAGAAGAGACAACAATGAATAATGGTTCTTAGGAGTTCAGCTCAAATTATTTCATACCATTTGGTTTATATAGTGATAAAGGGTCCAAGGAAAATTATAGTACAATTCTGAGGGAGTTAGAGCCATTAAAATTAAGAAAAAAATAAGGCAAATACCATACATACAATATTATTAAAGTTATAGGTTACGGAAGAAGACTTCTTTAAGAAAATGTAATAGGTAAGAGGCACACCCAGGAGTCAAACAATGCACCGAACACATTTAGCAAACAATAAAAAAAAAAGCACATCTAATTTATTTTATTCAGTAGTTTGTATTCTCACCCAGGAATTTAAGCTGTAGCACATATAAAGCTAAACATTCTATATTGTCCAGTACAGTAGCTTCTAGTCACATGTGGTAAGTAATTTTAAATTTAAAGAAATTAAAATATAATTTTAAAATTCAACACCTCAGTTGCAGTATCCACATTGCAAGTATTTAGTAGCCATAGGTGGCTGGTGGTCATCATATTGAATTCTCTCACTACAGAGAGTTCTAAAGGACATGACCATCGACAGGCATGTTACTAACACTTAGAGTAACTTGTAACTTGTCGGTCACAAATAAGAAAGGATCAATGCAGGCTGTAATATTTAAGAAGGGTTAGGAGAACCTAAGAATTATGGCTATTTTGAAAGGTAAAAAGGAGAGTGGGGGAAAAAGGCATGTCTGGAAGAAAGATAGCCTATCTGGCTTAGATCAAATTCTTGTTATAAACTCGAGGGGGATGAAGATAGAATGATAGGGCTGGGGTTGTGGCTCAGTGGTAGAGCACTTGCCTAGCATGTGTGAGGCCCTGGGTTCGATCCTCAGTACCACATATAAATAAATTAAATAAAGGTATTGTGTCCACCTACAACTGAAAAAAATATATTTTTTAAAAAAGATGGAATAACAGGTTGCAATGAGATAAGTTGAGAGACTTGAATGTCAAGCTAAGGAGTTTGATCTAAATATATTTCAAAATGTTATTTAATATGTGTATGTGTGCATTAGTATATATGTGTATGTACTTTTTTTACATGTGTGTATATATCATATAAATATGTATATACATATAAAATATATATATATATATCCTTTTTTTCTTTGTAGCAGTAGTAGTACTGGGGATCAAACCCAGAGCCTCGAACATGCTAGGTAAGTGCTCTAACACTAAGCTACTCCCCAGTCCTTTTCATTTTATTTTGAGAGAGGGTCTCCTTAGGTTGCTGTCTTCAAACTTTTGATCCTCCTGCCTCAGCCTCCTAAGTAGCTGAGATTATAGGTGTCTATGAAGATTTTTGACCAGGATACTGATTGCCCTGCAACAATAGCACCACCCAGAAAATAATTTTCCTTTGTACAATTTGATAAATAGGGGTCTAATATTTAATATTAGTGTGCCAATAAAGAGTTCATCTTGCGCTCTATGGTTAGCTTCAACATTGAATCAAAGCCTAGTAATACTGTATGTGTGTGTATCTTTGTATTATGTGCAAACACACATAGAGGGAGGGAGAATGCACGATCATGTTACAGACTGGCAAGAAGGGGAGATATGGAGGCTCAGTTCTTGGTCCTCTTAGAAAACCACAGGAAAGCCAGTGGAGCAGTTATGGTCATTTCATGAAGGCCCAGAGAATTGGAGTGTTACAAATTTTATTCAGTACTTTCATTCTTTCTAGGGTATTCATTTTGGTTAAAGTTAAGGTTTGGCTAAGGAACTTTACAGAATGGGAAGCAACTCACTATGTCTGGAAATGCTGATTATATCAAGGCTTCAAAAATGGACTTAGACTAAATTATGCCTTCTTAGAGAACACTCTATGAGGATTGAGAAGCATATTAGAGACTTCTAATTCACCATCCATCTACTTTATTCTCCCATCCTGCTTTTTTCGTTCTCTCCTTTTTACGTGTGTTAAGCTTCCATCATGTGTCAAGCATTGAGGGTTCTGAGAAAAAAACAGCACTCTTATGCAAGAAGCTAGACATGTAAATAGGAATAGAGACACAAATCAGGTCAAAGCCATTACAGGACAGAGACGACCATGACAAGGCTGTGCACAGAATCCTAGGAGCATGAAGGAGGGGCACAGGGCAGCTTGGGCAGCCATATCTCCACAGAGGAGAAGATAGTTGACCTGAATCTTGGGACAAGAGTAGAGATTACTCCAACAGATAAAGTGGGGTTAATGTTACATTAGAGAAGAAGATCAAGTGCAAAAGCAAAGGAAAGCATGGCAGAATGTGACTGAAAGAGAAACAGGTAGACTTTGTTTCCATTTTTTGTCTTTAGCTTATCACAAAGCCCAGGGCTTGAGGTATGCCTTTCCATATATACACTAACTTCAGGCTAAGCAGCCAGTGTAGACAACAGAGTTGTCCTGACTCTCATCATCAGACTTCAGGTTATAGTAAAAATAACACCAAAGCAAATGATCTGGGGAGCTAAATTTAAGTTTGTTTTTTTTTTAAATGTTTCAAAGTGTCTTTTTCTAATCAGCTTCACATATTATCATGGGACTTCCTAATTCACTAAAAACCACATGCTAGAGTGTCACTCTGGTTACCAGATTGACGCCAAGGAACTTGTAATCATTTGAGGAGTTTATGGAGAAAACTTAGCCCTTCAGAATTACCCAAGGGACAATAATAGTTTTTTCTTTCTTTTTTAATTATAAAATTCTTACTCTAGAATGACAAAGTGCTTTTCAAAATAAAAATATGCAAAAGAAATAGAAATTAAAATAACACTATTAAGCAAGAAACAGAGCCAGTCAGCAGTGTCTAGGAACAGAGCCACTGGAACTCTGTCACTTTATGAGTCAGAGGCATTGTCACGGGAGTAAATGTTTTTTTTCTTCCCTTTATAATAGGACCATACATGATGAGAGGCAGCACTGAGATGCAGGAAGATGATGGGCTTTGGACAGACTTGGATGAACATACTGGCTGTATTGCTTCATAGCTCTGTGGCTCTGGACAAGCTGCTTGACAGAGTAGAGGCTCAGTTTCCTCATGGTTAAGTTTTTGGGTTGATATAAGGAATAGAGAAAATGGGACTAGTACGATGTCTAGTTTTGTTAGACAATGAATATTTTCTATTATTATAACTATTAATGACAAGTTTGAATTTTTCTCTCTTGAATGACTATGAGACTCTTATTTTTGTAAAGGAGAGGATACTTGACTCTTGTCACTTTTCAGATACTGGCTTCTAGGTACTAACTTTGTGAAAGGGAAAGAGAATTCCCAAAGTAAGAGACCTAAGAGAAATTGGGAATCTTAAGGGGTGGAAGGCCTGAGTGTCATAGATAAATCAAATAATCCCAGGTAGAGTAAATTATAATAGACTATTAGTATTTTCCTATTATTGAGATTAGGCTCCCTAATGATAGTGAGGGGGCAAATGTTCAAAGAAGATATTTGGCTAATGATCTCAGTTAAATAATGATGGGTAAAGTCAAAACAGAATTGTCAGCTCAGAAATTGATGAGACAGTTCATAGAATTATCTAAGCTTCTTGTTTATTGAATTTATTGCTCATTTTTGGCCACTTCTCTATAACAAAATATCCAGAGAATGAGAACAAAGGGAGAAGAAAGAGACAATTTTAATCTGTCTACTGCCAGGAAGAGTTTTTTTTTTCTTTTTTAAAAGTGGAGGTTGAAGAAGAGAGGAGAGCATTTCCGCCATTGTTATTATCGTTACTATGATAAAGAACTGAGCCATAGAACAAGGCATGTCCATTTGCTCTTGTTGTTCTTTTCCCACATAGATTTAGAAATTTATCACACTGGGATTGTTTGTTATTTTATGGCCTGTCAAAGCACATATCTTATATTGATGTTCAGTATGTAGTACATAATAAATAACAACACTGAAAATACCATATCACAGGACATTTTGAAATAATGAAGTAGGAAGTGATTTCCAAGCTGTTTGCAAACTGTTCCATAAAATACCAATCCCAAGACATGCTCTTGGGTAGGGGAGATCTGCTATCAAATGTTAATATAGATACCAATTAGTATCCCAGTTAGTAGTGCTTTGAAAAACACTTTAGAAAATGTTGAAGAGGGGATAAAGAGATTTTATGCAACATAATAATTATTTTTAAAATAGCATCTTTCCCTAGTTAAAGTAGAATTTTAGATCACAAATTATTTGTGTGTGTGTGTGTGTGTGTGTGTGTGTGTGTATGTGTGTGAGGGAGAAATTCCCCTTTGATGTCAAAATATGGATTGGTAAACATAGGCCTTTTGAGGCTTTTTAAGCCATAATTT